CCTGTGTAATTTTTTTTTTTAATTTTTTAATTTTTTTATTATTTTGTGTGCGTGTACCGTCAAATCAGATCTGACTGATACAGGAGGAGACTGCTCCTCCTTCTCCGGCAGAGCATCTGGTGGATTCGAACCGTGTACCTCTGGGTCCTCCTGTGTAACTTAAAGCCTCTCCTAACCCATCAGAGAACCAGCTGTGGGCCAGTTCTCACTTGATGGCAATGACTGAGAGAATGAGTCATCAAAAATCATTAGCAGATCTGCAATGCCTCTGATTTCTATTCTGTTAATGTAATTTTATTAAAGCAATAGAGTATTTTTTAAAGATTCAATGTGAAATAATTTTGCTCCTAGAATTTCAAAATAAGAAAATAAAGACTGAATTTGTCACTTATTCATACAAAGCAAGTATAGGATCAGGCACATGTTATTGGAAGCAATTATAACATATTACCAGGCACAGGAAGCTTGTCTGATAATTGATGCAAATTTTCTGCAGATTCTTCATACAGACTAAAATTAAAAGGTAAATTGGAGGGGGAGAAAAGAAGCACATAAATATTTTTTCAACAGATAATCATATTATCATTATAATAACATAAATTGAATATTTCCATGTCTTGGACACTGTAATGTATGTTAGATCTATTAGCTGATGCAGTTAACATTTTATTTCTGCCATTCTTCCTTTCAATAATTTGTCTAAAGATATGTAACTAGTAGTGAATATCAGAAGCTAGACCTAAAGACCTACTTCTTATTACACCTAAAACCAAATTAACTAACTAAAATGCCTTAAATGATATACAGAATACTGAACAGAAATTCTTACTATTAGGATTTCTAATCCTAATTTTTGAAAGGCACCCAAGTGTCGAGGACTCTCCTTCATAGGGTCGCTATGAGTTGACTGTGACTCGAAGGCACTTAACAACAATAATATCAGCATTGAGAGAGAGATCAGCTGGCCCAGTGGACAGAAAGCGATGCTACCAAGCCAAAGGTGGGTGACTTTTCATCTGCGGCCCTCGGGCCTGTCTTTCATTGTTTTGTTCAGACATTCCTCTAGGTCGTATAGCCCTGGTGTACAAGTTGAAGTACAGCGGTCACTTGTGGTTGCTGTGAGGCTGAAAACTGTCACACTGATGTGTCAAATGCATTAATGGTTGGCTACCCAATGCGGACAGAGAGTGGAGTGGAGCTCCCCGATTAAAACAAGCTTGGAAGGGGGTGTGGCATCCACTTCCATAATAGCTTGCCTCCGGAAACCCTATGAACCTGGAGAGAGGATGAAAGGCACCCAAGCATGGAGGACTCTCCTTCACAGGGTCTCTGTGAGTTGCCTGCGACTCGACGGCACTTAACAACAACAACAATCCTAATTTTTATGAATTCTGAAAGTAAGGACTTCTACAAGTTATTAGAACAGAAATCGTCTGTTTGGTTTTGGTTTTCCCCCCCTATACATTAACTAAACTCATCCCTCTAAAAAAGTACAGCCAGGGAGCTCTGGTGGCCTAGTGGCAAGAAACTGCACTGCAATCCTAGAGATACACAGTTTGAATCCACCAGATGCTCTGCTGGAGAAGGAGGGGTAATCTCCTCCTGTACCAGTCAGATCTGATTTGACAATACACACACAAAATAAAAAAGTATAGCCTACCCCTCACAGGGGAATAGGAAAACCCCCTCAGATTCTCTAAAATCTGTTACTTTTACCCATCTGTCGCCTTTTTTACTCTTATAAGAGTTTATCACAAAGCTAAAGGAACAACAATCGTTTCTTATAAACCCATCATCATCTAAAAGCACCGAGTCCCAGTGGCACAGTGCATTATGTGTTGGGCTGTGAGGTGAAAGGTCAGTAGTTTGAAAACACTAGTCACTCTGCAGGACACAAACAGCCTCTCACCCTCAGATTTACAGTGTCAGCCACTTGAAGGGGGGCTGTCATGTCCTGGAATCAACTCACCGTCAAGATTTACAGTGTCACACCCTTGAAGAAGGGCCTCCATGTGCTGCAATCAACTAGATGGCAGTGGGCTGTGGGTGAGTACCGACCAACAGACCGAAGGCTTCTTCTATTAAACTATAGTTCTTAGGCTCCCTCTTGTGGAAGTAATCATTAGCTTACTTTCCAAATAAATTTACTTTTATACCAGTAATCTGTTAATAGTGGTTGGACAAATACACACAGTTTTAAAGCTGGAAGATACTTTATATCTCATCTAAAATAATCCCAACACCTCACAAATTCTGGGACCAGCAAAGCTTAGTGTTGAGGCTTGAAGTGACTTAGAGGCCCCTCTACTGACCTCCAGCCCAACACTTCCTACTATTCCACAAGGTCTCCCTCTACTACTCACACAAAGGAATACGATCTCAATAAAAGGAAAAAGGAATTGTTAAAGCATGAAGCTATTCATAGGGATGTTTCTATGTACAAATAAGCAGTGTTCTATAAAGCAGCCTGCTCCTTGGAGGCAAGGATTCTGAGGCTTCACCTGACATACTTTGGGCATGTTGCAAGGAGGGACTGGTCCTTGAAGAAAGCCATCATGATAGGAAGGGTGGAGGGATGGAGAAAGAGAGGGGGACCATCGACGAGATGGATTGATACAGTGACTGGGGTAATGAGGGTAGGTGTGTTGGAGACACACAGGACAGAGCAGGGTTCAGGGCTGTTGTACATAGGGTCGCTATGACATTAAGTGAGACATCCAAGGGACATGTCATTAAGAAAAGAAATTGTAACAAAATACACCACCTAGGTTAATTTGTACAGTAACTAAAAAAATCTAAAACCAAATTGAAGTATGTATATAACCCTTGCAAGCAGGAGTAGCATCCACTTCCTAAATAATATGCCTCTGGAAACTCTATGAACTTTGATAAATGTCAATAGCTGTAGAGGGGCTTCAGGTCTTTTGTTCATAAGGTCGTTAAGAGTCGTGCTTGACTCAAACGCAATCAACAACATATAACCTTTACAAATTCATTACGGACTTTAAAAGATATGGGAAATGTTGAAAATACATACACATTAAAGAAATTGCAAATTCCTTCCTCACACAGGAACAAAAACCCCACACCCCATAAATGGTGTTTTAAGTCCTAGCTAAAAAGTTTACATTCGAGTTCTTAAAATACCACTGTGATATACCACCCTCTAGAAAGTGTTACATTAATCAACATTTCTCTTTTTGTGTTTACTGTAATTATATGACCTTAAGAAGGTAAATATATTCAGATACCAACTATAATGTTCTACATAACCTCATTCAAAGAAAAGGAAAGTGCGAGTTGACATTTTCAGTTAATTAAAAACTTCTTTACTGCAGTTGCTAAAAAATTTTCATTTTCATCTTCTTGGCCTCTAAAATAATTTCCCACTGTTAAATATTTTACAGGTGTTATGAAACATCTTTGCATACTCAGCCAAGGATAATGATTCTCTGCTGTTACTGTCTTCCTCCTCAAAACATTCAGCAGCGCTCAGGCATTCATCGATATTTGTCTGAAGAACATCTTCAATTTCATCGTTTTCAGCATCAAAATGTATCTCTTCCCAGTCAGAACTACAAAACTAAGGGAAACATTGCACTAGTTAACGAACAGATTTGTGGATTTATTGATATTAACAGAGGCATTCACTAGTAATTCTTTTTAGTTCTATTACCTGATAAAATCCACATATTGCCTGCACTGCAAAGAACCACTTCTTGGGAGCAGGTGTACCGCCCACTGAACAGGCTTGAATGCAAAGAGACACTAATTAGTCGACGGGCAGGCTTGAATAAGCATCTGTTACAGTACACATACTTGGCCATCACAGCAAAATTTGGTACATTTTAGAGAGCTCTCCAAGTTCTATATGTAATTATTATTTTAATCTTGTTTCACATCTCTGCTCAATATTAGAACAACTGCCAAAAAAACAAAAAAAAGGACTAAAACTCTTCACTCGTAACGAATACTATCTTCTGGCTCATTACAATTCAAAAATCCACATCCATCATTTCCAATAAAATCTACCACAAAGATGCTGAAAAATAACCAACATTCTTTTCTCTCATGCACTCACACACAGACACACAAATCACCCACACCATTTTCAACAAAAGCAATTTCATCTCCAAAGATGCTTTAGGCAGTAGGGTTGGTTTGGTTCAGCCTCATTAGATGTAGAGGTATTAGAACTAACTATGGCTGAAAGATAAGAAAGACACTCTTTTTTGGGAATGCCAAGCTTTCTACAACAGCGCCAGCAGAAGACTACTTCCTCCCTCTCTAAGGAAATAAAAGGTGTCAGGGAAAAACTCTCACAAGATCCCGTCAGCAAGCATGCAACCCTCCTTGTGTTCTCATTCGGGGTCCCTCTTGTTAACACATTAGATCCTGGACCTTTCCAACACCTGGTTACCCCTCAGAACTCTTCGGGAACTTCCAGGCAGATGATTACACTATTTTTTTTTCTTCTCTTCAATCTCTCCTCTCTCCATAGTCCCTTCCCATTTCCCCTAAATATGCACAAATTCTTTGTAAAGAGGAGGCTCCATTTAAATCAGCCTCCCCATCTCCAGCCACTCTCTGTCTTTCCTCAGTGTTCTTGACGGACACACATTCCAAACACGCTGTCTACACTTGGCTGCGTCCAACCTACAGCATCATTCCCATCCCTATAAACCCACCGGCACCTGAAGCTGCACTCACCAAAGCCCCCTGCAACTAACATAGTACTAAACCCTGAAGGCATTTTCCTGTTCTGTCCTTACTGAACTCCACACAGGAGCCAAAAGGGAAAATCCAAAGATCACACACTGGGCCACTGTCCCCTTAAGACCCAGAGAGCATGAAGGTTCAGCGGCACCCATGTTTTTTACTACCTCTCTTCTTTCCTTTAAAGAATCATGTTCAGTCCTGAGCCGAGACTTCTCTTTCAACTGTCCTTGAGTAAACTCAGTCTTTCTCATTGCTCCAACTGACAACTACACATGGATTCTATTATCTATACCCACTCTTCACCCTACCTTTGGAGTTCCAGATACACGTAGTATCCAGCTTTAATATATACTTTATTAATTTTAATGAATATTTACAGAGATTTTTGGATTTCCATTCATTCATTGTTGCATTTTTTCTCCCTGTCCACCTTCCCCCAGTTTGCTCTTCTCTTTGAAAAGAAAAATTCCTTCATTGGTATACAATCCCCCTCCCCTCAATGAGTACACTCCACTATGCAGCCTTCATTCTGGACTCTTGTCATAATGATAATATCCAATCATATATCACTTGTAAAGTCTTCTCTCCCTCATCTGTTTCAATGCAGTATCCAGTTTTTAAAAACATTTCCATAATGGAACACAACTCAGCCAGCAGGAGAAAGGAGTCTTGATGCACGTTACAGTGTGGATGGAATGTGAGACGACATCCTGTGATTAACCATCGGACTGCTTACAGAACAGGTGTGTGGTTCAACCTATCAGCTGCTTTGCGGAGGAGGCAGTTTGTACCTGTCAAGAGTGACAGCCTTGGGAATCCTCTGGGACAATTCTACTCCGTCCTACGGGTAAGAACAGACTCCACAGGAACAGACTCCACAACAGGGGTTTGTAAATCTTATATTACTATGGTTCAAATGTCCTTTGCGTTGATACATTAGCTGAAATTTGTAAAACGGAACTTTGTTTCCATTATCTCAGTCCATAGTTATGACTTACATAAGATTCCACATTATGATTGGTGATGAACCCCAGCAGTACTTTCAGAGCTGCCCACTGATAGGCCACTGCACATCGGCATATGTTGTTGTTGTCGTTATGTGCTGTCAAGTCGCTTGTGACTCATAGTGACCCTGTGTACAACAGCCCTAAACTCCGCTCTGTCCTGTGCCAATCGCACTGTCTCTGACACTCCCAGCCCGATTATCCCAGTCACTGAATCAATCCACCTCATAGAGGGCCTTCCTCTCCTGCGCTGTCCCTCCACCCTCCCAAGCATGATGTCCCTCTCCAAGGACCAGTCTCTCCTCACAACATGTCCAAAGTATGTTAGACAGAGCCTCAGAATCCTTGCCTCCAAGGAGCCACCCGGTTTAACCCTCTCCAGGTCGAATCTGTTTGTTTTCCTAGCAGTCCATGGTATTCTCAATACTCGTCTCCAGCACCACAGCTCAAAGGCATCAATTCTCCTTCTATCCTCCTTGGTCATTGTCCAACTCTCTGATGCATAACAAGTGTATGTACATCGAATATGCAGAGAGCAAAATTTGTTACTGGGTTGCCTTCTTGCTTTCCTAGAGATAAACACGCACAATATTTTATAAAACACATAATGTGAGGAGAGACTTGATAAAAAAAATGATGCAAGAACAAAAAGAAATAAAAAGTAAAAATGCTAGAAGAGGACTTATGGAACCAGAGAAAGTTAGTGAACAAGCAAAGCGGGGGTGATGAAAGATGGAAATACCCCGAGGAGGTGTTGCTGGCAAAACAAACAAACAAAAACCAGTGCATTAGAGAAGCTCAGAGAAATTCCACTGCATTGAAAGTACAAAAGACAAAACAATGGAATCTGTTTGAAGCTCAGAAAGAAGACTGCTCGCTCATCAAAAGTAAATCATGCTTGTTCTGTATAAGTGATACAACGATGAAAACAAGCATAGTCGAACTATTCTTGATAAAATTTTTACCAAAAAAATCATTTTAATCCTCAATGTGTTTAATGTGGAAATTCTATTGTAATGTATAAATATTAGCTTTACTTCCTGTGTACATACAACCAATAGTAAAATTATCTGTAATGCGCTGACAAATACTTTAAAGGTCATAGAATAATTATCATTTCCACATTGATTTTTATACTAAGTTTGCTTGCGTCACGCAGTTTCAGCTGGCACGGTCATCTCTATGGGCCTACACTAACAATAAGGAAGGGTTCAATTAAAAATTTACAACCACATAAGGGGTAAACATCATTAGCATTCCCAGAATGTCTTAAGAGCTATTTTACATCCTCATATGAGACATTAAAAAAATATATATCTTGTAATAGCAAGACTAACTTAAGTTCTCTTGAATAGCAAGACTGACTTAAGTTCTATCAACTTGTAAAATTAAGAGTGCAACTGAGCCTTAGAAGTAAGATAGATCTGTAGAACGCCAACAGATATCAAAGAAAGATAGCTGTAAAAAGATGACCAAAAAAAGTCACATATTTCACAAGTTCCAAAGCAAGTAAGAATTGAATAATGGTTACTATTTTTAACAATTATAAAATATTTTTAAAACAGTGAACAAGAGACAAAGAAAATAAAAATGAAAGAATGATAAGAAAATGAACACAGGAGTAATGATAACACTTTCATGCTAAAGACAGGATTATAAACTCTCCCTATTATGCCACATTACCTTTTTTTTTCTGAACCTAAAGAAAGGTAAGAAAATTTCATAAAGTGGAAAACAACTCAAGATGAGAATCTAGAACCATTTTCCTGCTATGTCATTGGACACTGGGGTGAGGGATAGCATCTTTCTTATTATGTCACTGGGCATTGGGGTGAGGGATATTATCTCTCTTAGTTTTATATTCTTTATGGTACCTTCCTCTCTTAGTGCCCAATACACAGTCAGTATGCATTTTCTGTGTTCTTAAATCAACAAATTAATTTCACCTCCAATATAAATATTATCATAGAGAACACTGGGTTTTATAATACATTGTGGACTTTGTTCTCATTGATGTGGTCACCCGCTCCAACTCACAGGGACCCCACGTACAACAAGACTGAATCCCTGCCCGGTTCTGCACCAGCCTGACAATCTGCACTGTGTTTAAGCCCATTATTGCAGCCACTGCGTCAGTCAACCTCATTCTGGGTTTTCCTCCTTTTCGCTTTCTCTGTACTTTAAAAGAATGACTTCTTTTCGATGATATATAACAGCAACAACAATAAATTCCTTCTAAGAATACACCCAAGTACATCGAGCATGCGTGGACTCTAGCATATCTGTAATCACAAGACTGACAAAAACACACTGTCATATAATTGATTCAGGCTCATATCCACCCTGTAGGCAATGAGTGGGAATTCCCATGAGGTTTTAAGATCTGTAATCCTTCCAGAAGCAGGGTACCCCCTCGGGCTCCTACAAAGTAGCTGGTAGGCTCAAACTATTGACCTTCAAGTTGGCGGTCAAGCTCTTTAACCAAGCAATGTTTCATTCTATAATACATAAGGTCCCCAGTAGTAGAAACTGACTTCATGACAATTAACAAAATATACTTACCAGGGAAAGTGCTATCTTCTGGATTAATTGAATCCCTAATACTTCTTTTGAGGAGGTGATAAACATTTGCAGCAGCAGCTAAGTCTGAAAAATGAAAGAGAGTAATTGAATTAGTTCATAAGCTAGGCAGAAAGAAAATGTGAAGCACTTACTAAAGACAAAGACTTCAACATGAAATCCTCATAATTGGACTGGGGGGGGGGGGAATCCTCATAACTGGATCGGATAGATAATATCATGATGTTTGTTAAGTGCCATCAAGTTATAGACGACTCATAGCGACCCTATGAACCAAAGACCTGAGCACTGTTCATAGAGTTTCTGGAGGCAAGCCATTTCGGAAGTGGATGCCACTCCCACTTCCAAACTTGTTTTAATATCATGATAGAAGGAGAAAAGCTGAAGATTCAACAATTCTGTTTTACTTAAATCCAAAATCAATGCCCCTAGGAGCAGCAGTCAAGAAATCAGGCTGTATCATATTGGACAAATCAGCTGTCAACAACCTCTTTACAGTGCTAAAGAGCAAGGGTATCCATTTAAAGACTAAGGCGCATCTGACCTATGCCATGGTATTTTCTTCTTCTTTTTTTTTGCCAAGGTATTTTCAACTACTTCATATGGAAGCGGAAGTTTGACAATAACCAAGGAAGACCAAAGAAGAATCAATGCCTTTGAACTGTCATGTTGGCAAAGAATATTGAGTATCCCATGCACTGCCAAAAGAACTTGTCTTGAAGGAAGTGAAACCACGGTGCTTCTTAGAGGCAAGAATGACAAAACTTTACCTCACATCCTTGTTGGCAAGTTGGCAGGAGGTCCCAGTTCTTGGAAGAAGATGTCATACTTGGAAAAGTAGAGGATCAGCAAAAGAGAAGAAGACTGTCAAGGGCAGGGAGTGACACACTGACTGTAACAATGGGCTTGAGCATTTTGAAGATCAAGAGGAAGGTGCAAGATAGTGCAAAGTTCCTATGTGTTATTCACAGCGTTGTAACGAGGCGATCTCCAGCATTCAGTATAGACTGCATATCAACACCAAAAAGATACATATTCTCAACCCTGGACTGATAAGCAACATCATGCTACATGGAGAAAAGACTGAAACTGTCAATGATTTCATCTTACTTGGATTTATAACTAACACCCTTAACCAACAGTCAGGAAATCGGCAGACACATTATATTGGGTAAGTCTGCTGTCTGGGAACTTATCAAATTACTAAAGGGTAATGATGTCATTTTGAAGACTAAGGTGCACCTGATTCAGACCACGGTCTTTTCAATCATTTGCTATGCATGTGAAAGCTGGACAACAAATAAATATGACAGAAGAAGAGCTGATACTTTTTAGCTATGGTGTTTGGAGAAGAGTACTGAATATCTGATGGACTGCCAAAAGAAGAAACAGTTATGTCTCCGAGGGTACAGCCAGAATGTGCCATGGAGACAAGGAACTCCTTTAAGCATGTTGCTAGAAAAGGCTATTCCATGGAGATGGACATCATGCTTGAAAAGATGAAGGGTCAGCAAAAGAGAGGAAGAGCCCCAATGAGACGAACTGACACAGTGACAGCAGCAATGGGTTCAAGAATGTCAAATGATCAGGATAGCACAAGATAGCATAGGGTTCAGGTATGTTGTTCATAGGTTGTTATTAATCTTACACAACTCGACGGCATCTAACAATTCCAATTTCATAATCAGAAATTCTCAAGATCAGTATGTTGTACTGAACTACATGCTGGTCAAGCCCTGTTTGAGAACTTGTGGTGTTTTCTTCTTCCTCTTTGACTTGTTACTGGAAATCTAAAGCATACAGACAACACAGGAAAGAAAGTTCTCAATTTTCACAAGCCAATAAGTTGACATTAACCCAAAATTACTACAAAAGAACAGTGTTAAACAATAGGAAATGAAATCTTTATCACAGACCCTTCCTGAGAGAAAGCCTGCTCCTTCAAAACAAACATATAAATAAAATGTAGCATAGCACAAACATCCTAACCAGATTACAAACAAGATACAGCACAATCCTAAATGGTTAAAACTGTTGTAAAGCTATCATTTTTTGTTTTGTTTTTTAATTTTTTAAAATTAATTTTAATGAAAGTACAGAGACTTAGGGTTTCCAGTTATTCATTGTTGCACTTTTCTCCCTATCCACCTCCTCCCCCACAATTCACTCTTCTCCTTGAAAAGAAAAACTCTTTTTCTTTTTTTTAAAGAAAAACTCTTTCATTGTTATGCAATCCCTCCCCCCCAAATCCACTCCACTATGCAGCCTTCCTGTCATGACAAGAATACCCATCATATGTCCCTTTTAAACAGTCTCTCCCTCATTTGATTTTAAACTTTATTTGTGGCGCATCTTCTCCCTTTTGAATATAAGCTCTAGGACAGCAACACCCTCTGCCATTTAATTCTATTATCTGCATTTGGAACACAGAAGACAGGAAAAATTAAGGAATGCCTGCATTAGGAAGGAGCAGAGCTTCCTTTAATAAAGCAGGGAATTTATATTCAAGTAACATTTTACTGAGGCCAACATATTTATTGAATGCATTCACTTCCAAGGGACAGAATTCTCACAGTCAAGCATGGGCATTGCCCAGTTAAATTTGTACTGTGTCAGTTAAGTTCTTGGCACTGGTGTTTTTTCTTCTTTTTAAAACTATATTGTGGTTTAAAAGAAAGTTTACAGAGAGTTTGGGTTTCCATTCATTCAGTGATGCACATTTTCTTCCTTCCCCCAGTCCACTTGCAATGAATCTCTTGTTCTAGAGACAGCTGTCATACGTTTGACTAACGTCTAATCATACATTCTTTTCATTCATTTGTTCTAACACAATGTTCATTATCCATTCACTCTTTCGGCTCTCCCTCCATCTTCTATTTCAATTCTATTTTATAATAGCAATGTTATGACGTATTTGTCCTTCTGTGACTGAGCTATTTTGCTCAGCATAGTGTCTTTTAGACCGGGCTGCTCTTCGGAGGCAAGGATTCTGAGGCTTCGTCTGACATACTTTGGTTATGTAGCAAGGAGGGACAGGTCCTTGGAGAGGGACATCATGCTTGGGAAGGTGGAGGGACAGCGCAGGAGGGGAAGGCCCTCTATGAGGTGGATTGATTCAGTGACTGGGATAATTGGGATGGGAGTGTCAGAGACAGTGCGATTGGCACAGGACAGAGCAAGGGTTTAGGGCTGTTGTTGTACATAAGGTCGCTATGAGTCGCAAGCTACTGGACGGCACTTAACAACAACAAAAACATGCTGTGCAGTGTTTTACAAGCTCACTGTTTTTCAATGCTAATATTGCATTGTGTGAAGGTACCATAATTTTTCTATTCGTTTGTTGATGGGCTGAGCACTGGAATCCTGCGTTTGCAAATAGATCCCTATTTTACCCCTAAAGTTCATGCCACCTTTTCAATCCTTGCAAGATCTATGCGGATGGACTCGTAGGAGACATCTTTCCAGGACATCTCCAACACAACCTTGACCGCGAACTTTCCCCTCCCTGTCTCCGGCCGTTCCCGCCCTTTCCCAGCTCAGCGCTTACCCGGCTGCCTCTCGGTGCCCTCGGCCCAGCGCGTTCCGGGGTCGAGCTCTGCCTCCCCACTGGCCGCCGAGAGGACTTTGCCTTCCCCCCAGATGACCAGCAACAGGTACCGATCCATCTGCTCGCCCCGCTCCCGGGTCCAGGCTCCGCCGGCACATCCGAACAGCGCGCGCGGTGACACACTTCCGGTGCCCCGAGTGCTGCGGCGCCGCTGGAAACAGGGTGTCCTCCGTCAGCTTTCTGCAATTTTCCGAAGAGGAGAAGTTCTGTTTTCCATAACCGCATTGCTTGCTCTTCTCATGTGGAGACCTGAGTGAGGACTGGATGGGACCAGGAGAAAGCGGAGAAGCCGAGAGCGCGGCGGACTAGGAACTGTCGTGCTCGACTCCGCGCGTTTCCCACCCGGACGCTAGTGCCGTCGGACCTGCCCCGGATCCTGGGAAAGGACTCCCGCGCTGCCCGTGACGGTCATGTCCAGTTTCTCTAAAGCGACCCAGGTGAGCGCAGTCACTTCTGCTCTGATAAAGTTCTTTACATTGATCGCAGGGGAGGTGATGATTCAGGCCGACTTGGTGGTGTAGCTGGAATCGGGGACCTTGGCTCCATAGGTGCTTTGTCTGCTGACAAGTGTTGACTTTGGTTAATTTCAGACCAAAGACAAATTAGGAAGAAAGGCCTGGTGATCTGCTTCGGAAAATTAGCTCATGAAGAATCCTGTGAATCAAATCGGAGTACTGTTAGGATCCCCAACAAGAAGATGAGCCCTCTAGGCTGAAAGACGGAGTACACAATGGCTGTAACAGTGAACCCAGGTTGCGAAGATTGTTACATGCAGATAGACTATGCCCAATTCTGTCTCGAACAAAGACAGTTCAAGAGCGCAGTGGCATTCCATGAGTTGTCCTTGGCAGTAACAGGAAGACAGGAGCTTACCTAGCATACCTGAGTTTCAGCAAGAAAGCTACGGCTTTGAAGGATAAGAAGGGGAAAGCAGTAGGAGAGAAGAGAGGGTTAAAGCGCCTTGTGAATTCCACACCATCTCTAGATGTTGAAAGGAGATCCTGCTCTGCTGAAAGCGTCTGACTGAGAGGTTAAAAGGAGCACTGTCGATGCTGAGTTGAGAACAGGCTGTTCAGAGATAGGGATTGGTGGAGTAGAAGTACAGAATTAATTTGAAGGTTTCCCAGTAATCCAGTCTAGAGACGATTGTGGTAAAACCAAGCTTGTTAACAGCAGAGTGCTGCGAAGTGGTTAAGTTCTGGATATGTTTTAAAGATGGAACCAATGGGCTTTGCTGAGATAGGTTGTGGGCCAACAGCAAAACTACTTGATAATGAAGCAGCTTTCAGGTGATGGCCAAACCTTCAGTTTTGGATCCATTGGGCCAGAATGCCTCTTAGTCCAGTACTATTCCAAATGGGATTCTTAGACTATGACCTGTCCATAATAAGATAAATACAGAATGTGAAAGTGTTTAGAAAGTTTTATAACTAAAAAACTTTGTATATATTAATTGTACAGTACCTGTAAGAGATCTTTACTAATACATTTATAAAATATACACAAATTTAAAACCCATAACAAATCCCTATTTTAAGCAATGTTTAAATTGTATACTGTGCTGTAATGCGTATTTGTTCTGATCAAAAGTTATCCATGTTTGTTTTACTAAAATTTCTAATGCAGTACCATATATTGTGTCTGCATGTAATTAAAATTCTTAAATAAGAAAAAAAATAACTTTATGGCAGCTTTTCAACCTGTAAACAAAGTGAAACTCTTAATCTGCATAGTCTGCAGTACATTAAAGGAGAACCTAGACTTTTGCTGCAGACACCAAGATGTCAGTTAGATACAAGTCGAAAGTCTGAGAAAGAAATTCAGGCTGGCTATATAAATTTGATAATCATCAGCGTACAAGTGGTATTTGAAGATTGGAGACTGGATGAAGTTTTGGGGAAAGTGAGTACATAGGTCCAAAAAGGAGGAAGACCAAGAGCTAAGCTCTGAAATACTTTAACATTTAAAAGTTAAGTAAGCTGTTGTTGTTGTTGTTATATGACATCGAGTCACTTGCGACTCATAGCGACCCTATGTACAACGGCCCTGACACCTGCTCTATCCTCTGCCAGCTTTACCATTTCTGACACACCTACCCTCAGTATCCCCGTAGCTATATCAGTCCATCTCATCAATGATCTCCCTCTCTTTCTCCGTCCCTCTACCCTTCCAAGCATGATGCCCCTCTCCAAAGACTGGTCCCTCCTTGCAACATGCCCAAAGTGTGTCAGATGAAGCCTCAGAAGCCTTGCCTCCAAGGAGCCGCCTGGCTTCACCCTCTCTAGGACAAACCTGTTCTCTTGGCAGTCCATGGTATATTCAGCACTCTTCTCCAGCACCACAGCTCATAGGCATCAACTCTCTTTCTGTCATCTCTAGTCATTGTCCAGCTCTCTGATACATAGCAAGTAGTTGCAAAGACTATGGCCTAGATCAGGCACATTTTAGTTCTAGACTAGAGGGGGGAAAATTCACAAAAGGTGATTACCCCAAACAAAGAACATACAAGAGCTGAGAATGACCAACTTTATTGAAGACTTGGAATTAACCAGTAGCCCACAAAGGTCATGGTAATCTGACAAGCAAAGTAATGAAGTGGAAGGACAAAGGCCAGGAGTTAGTTAAAGAGAAATGGAGAACAGAAATTTTAAAAAAGATACATGAAACACTGAGGGATAAATCTGATAAATGTCTGGAGTGAATAAAGCAGATAGCAAGAGGGAAAAACTGTCCAATTGTTAATCAGTTTTATAGAAAACATCTGTTTCCAGTAATGGAAATCAAAGCGCACACACACCTCCGTTCCGCCTCCCCCCAAAAAGAACCTAAAACAAAACCACAACAAAACACCTCTTTAATCATAGTTTCTTTTTACATAATAGTTATTGGTGTGATAATATAATAATACCATTCTTTCTTTTTCCCCCCAAGCAATGGGCCACTTTTGCGAGAGTGTGGTATCTTTTAGATGGGAAAATGCAGCCCCCTGGTAAACTTGCTGCTGTCGCATCAGTAAGGCTACAAGGACTGCACAAGCCCATCTACCATCAGCTGAGTGAGTATTGTGGTGGACCCTTTGGTCGCTAACTTACATAGTTTCCATGACAGTATAAAATCATGGGGATGTTTGTGTGAGCTACTTTTCAGGGCTCCCTTTTTAACCTGGGTATCCTTTATTACAGTCTTGCTAAAAACTTATGTTGTTATTTGTTGTTATGTGGCGTCGAGTCGCCTGTGAGTCATTGCAACCCTGTGTCCAACAGCCTTAAACCCTGCTCTATCCTGTGCCAATCTCACCGTCTCCAACACACCTCCCCCAATTTTCCCCAGTCACCGAATCGATCCATTTCATCGAGGGTCTTCCTTTCTTGCACTGTCCCTCCACCCTCCCAAGCATGACGTCTTTCTCCAAAGACTGGTCCCTCAGTATGTCAGACGAAGCTTCAGAATCTTTGCATCCAAATAACAGGCTGGTTTAACCCTCTCTAAGATGAACCTCACCTTTTCATCTCCAGAGTAATATATCATATGGTCATCCGACTCAAAATGCCCCATGCCAGTCCATCTTATCTCACCAATGCCTAGTATGTCAATATTTATGCGTTCCATTTCTTCCTTAACAATATCTAATTTTCCTACATTCATGGTTCTCACATTCCATGTCCCAATCACCAGTGTCTGCTTACAACTGTTCCTCTTCCTTTGCATTTCCATACTTGAAAACTCAACCTCCTTTACCATTTCTGTTATCTAAATGTGTTCTGTTGTACATAGGGTTTTCAGAGGCCTGCTATTTCAGAAGTGGATGGCCAATCCTTGTGAGGAGAGACAGGTCCTTGGAGAAGGACATCATGCTTGGGAGGGTGGAGGGACAGCATAGGAGAGGAAGGCCCTCTATGAGGTGGATTGATTCAGTAACTGGGATAATTGGGATGGGAGTGTCAGAGACAGTGCAGTTGGCACAGGACAGAGCGGAGTTTAGGGCTGTTGTACATAGGGTCGCTATGAGTCGCAAGCAACTCGACGGCACATAACAACAACAAACAAGATGAACCTGTTCCTTTTCTTAGCAGTCCATGGCACATTCAGTACTCTTCTCCGATACCATAGCTCAAAGACATCAATTCTCCTTCTGTCACTAGTCATTATCCAACTCTCTGACGCATAGCAAGTGATTGCAAAGACCATGACCTGTATCTGGTGCACCTTCATCTCCAGAGTGACACCATTGCTCTTCAGTATTTTGGAGAAGTTCCTAACAGCAGAAGCACTTGCTGCAGAAGGTCAACTTCTGCAGCCTTCATGTAGATCAAGGCTCAATATCAAGAAGACAAAGATTTTCACCACTGGGCCAATTGGCAGCATCAGGATGAGTGGTGAAGAGTTTGAGATTATTAACAGCTTTAGTTTGCTTGGCTCCACGGTCAGTGCTCTTGGCACCAGCAGCCAGGAAATTTAAAGACGTATTGCAATGGAAAAAACTTACGAGGCACTAAATATTATGCTTATTCTTAAGAAAACCATACTGACTAGTTTGTTTGGAATGAACCTCGGTCCATATCATTATCCCAGAAAGATGGGTGATTTGAACCCACCACCAACTACCTGGTAGAAAGATGTGGTGATCTACTTCTGTAAAGATTTGCAGACTTAGAATCCCTGTCAGGCAGTTCTAGTTTGCCCTGCCTTTGAGACACTCTGTGTACAGACCAGCCTTACAAGCATTGTTTGTTTTGAGGGTTATAAAGACATGTATAACTAAATAGGACTGACGTGGGGGGCTAGGGAGAGAGGAGGAAGAGTGAATAAATAATGCAACAGAAGAGAGGAAGAACTTTTCGGAAAGGAATGTGCGATTAGACATTATATGCATGACAACTGTCTGGAACAAGAGGTGCATTGCAAAGTGAGCTAGGGGAGAAGGAATGGAGGAAAATGTGCAACAGTGAAAGAATAAAAACAGGCAGATGTATCATTTACAGCAGGAAATCTTGTATCCACAAGGTGTCACTAAAATCAGACTTAGTAAGTCTTTTTATTTTACAAAGATCTTGTGTTTATAGCTTTATTCAGCATTTTTAAGAAACTCATATATACTCGGAGCTCTGGTGGCCTAGTGGGTAGGGAATTACACTGCCAACCCAAAGGCATGTGGAACGAATCTCCGAGCTGCTCCTCAGGAGAAAGACGGAGAGTTTCTGTGCAGTGTTCAGCCTGTGCATACCTGCGGGAGGGTCCGGCTATGAGCCAGTTCAGCAGCAGTTAGTTGTGAGTTGAGTATATATTCAAGGAGCCCTGAAGGTGTAGTACGTGATGTATCAGACTAGTAACTGAAAGGTGGGCAGTTTGAATTCACCAGCTGCTTTGGAGGAGAAAGATGAGCAGTCTCCTATAAAAAATTTTCCACCTTAGAAACCCAGTGAAGGGTCAGTATCTGATGTGATCATCCAACAACAGTAAGCTTGGTTTAGGATTACATGCTTATAATTCTTGTCAATACATTTATTTAAAAATTGAGCTTTACTTTCCTAGAAAAATTGTATTGTCATTTGGTGATTCTATACCAAAAACTATGTTAGTAATTAAGCCATAAAGTACCTGGACAAAACTTAGAATGTTTTAACTACTTTGGTAGATAGATGTTCATGAATTGTCTTGGGAAAATAACCTCTCATTTCTGAGACCTTTTTTTTTTTTATGAAATTGTGTTCTGGGTCCAGATGGGTCTATGATATAGAAATAGAAAAAAATGTTTTCCTCCTAATGAAAGCTGTTTTCCAGAACTTGAGATTTGGACGGCCCTTTGAACATAGTTCTTTTTCACTAATAGATAACAAGAAATGATACATATTAGCTTAAGAAATGTGAGGACCCACTCTTAATTGTTGTGGTCGTGTACCATCAAATTGGAACTGACTCATAGCTGACCTTCCACTGTGTTTTCAGATTTATTAAATCACATGAGAGGAGATTGCCCGTCTTTGTCCCACAGAGCAGCTGGTGGATTCAAACCACGTGCCTTTGAGTTAGCTGCATAACTCTTTTCACTTAGTCACCAGCTGTGAAGGACTAGGAATGCATTTAAAAGAAGCTTTTAATAAATGCAAGTTTAAGTATAAATGAACATTCATTCTGGCACTTAATCTAGTACGAAAAATGTCACATGGATTGTAGAATATCTGACAATAATACAGTATAAAGAAAAGATTGAACCCCTGATCAAGAAGGGGAAAGTGCAGAAATTCAAGTTTTCATGGACTGTAGATTTATTTTTTTGCATGGAGGTGGATAAACCCTTGAAATTATTGCTCTGGGGTAATCTTTGAACCTTAAACAGAAACTGTGATCTGTAGGCTGCTCTTAAACCCAACTGTACTTGAGCTGAGTTTAACTAATAAAGAATCTCAACTTGGTCAGCATGCTCTTTTAAGATCTGTCTTTATGGCATCAGACTGACAAGGGCAACTCAAAAGATTAGACAGAAATTTTAAGGAGCAGTGAATTTTTGTTAATGGAAGAGGAACAGCTCAGAAACAGAAGGTGAGACAATTACACAATTTAAGAATATAATCAGTGTTACTGAATTGTGCTGGAGAAAAATTGGTGAGTTTTCACTGGGTACTTTTTCAGTAACAAAAGAGTAAAATAAATACTCAAAAAAGAAGAACGTTATAGATTCATGGAGATTAAAATGGTAGGTAAGATATTCCTGCTAAGGAAATTGTTAGGGACAAATGAAATAATCACAGGGTAGCTTAGAATTGTAATCACAGAATAGTTAATATCTTAGAAACCTTGAAGATCAGGCTCAATCTCCTTTTTAAAATAATATTTTTTATGAGAACCAAACCCCATTTTTATGAATATTAAATTGGAAAATGGCAGAGTCGTTTAAATTTATCAAAACATTTTGCCTCGATTTGAAGAGAGCCTAAAAAGAGGTTTCAGAACATAGTGATGCATGATACATTCACCTGTCATATTACAGAGACTTGAGTACTGAAGATAGCTCATGAGTGTCCTGTATCTCTAGATATTGGTGGATTTAAAAATGTTGAGTTCTTCTTGATCAGCAGTTTTATAGTATATGTCAAGGACTTAAAAAAAATTCTTTTTATATGATTACATGCATGTCCAGTAATTTGCTCTTAATCAGATCTGAATATGAGATGCTGTAAAAAGAACAAGGGCCATATGACTTTGGCCATATCTGACCTTTACCAGCTTCACAAATGGAAACTGTCCCCAACAACAACAACACAAAACCAATCCCCATAAGGTCAGATATGTCCCCCACACTTCTGCATCTCTTTCTACTCATTCCAGCATCAGTCTTAGTGCTTTACTGGGTCCAAAATCTGATGTGATAGCTCACAGACCACACAGAACCATGATAAGGAAGTCAAAAGGCTATAATTCAAGTTGACAGCAAGACACAGTACCTCAAGTATGGACAGCTTCTCAAATGTGCTCACAGGCACCACAACCTTGAGCTTCACAGCTTTAGGCCAGTTTTACAACCTGGTCTGGTTGGTGCAAGACTTTTGGGCCCTGAAGGACACACTCATTCTCGTCTGCTTGGCTGCTGGTAAGTTTCTCCAGTTCTGCTGTTGAAGGTGCTGAATTTAATGGTGACACTAGCCAGTCCCTTTGCGGACAGGCCAACACACCCTGTTCACATGTTCCTGCATGTCCACATGGCAAAGTCAGTCGGTGGCTAGGGAAGCCATTTTGAGCAAGAAACCCCTTAACACCGCAGATACTTAAAACTCTGCTATTTTAACATTTTAAAATGGTATATTTAAAATAAAATCCTGCTAATCTATCATTTATTTCATGATGTTGTTGTTGTTTACTGACATCAAGTGGAGCACAACTCCTAGCGACCCTATGGAAAATCAAAGTCCTGAAGCTTTTCTATAACTGTCGTCATTTATCAAAGTTCATAGCGTTTCCAGAGGCGTGTTGTTTCAGGAAGTGAATGCCACTCCTACTTCCAGTATTTCATTATGTATGTGTTTATATCCTGAAATTAGTGTCTGAACTTTCTTTTTA